GCAAATGCACACTGGCAGTAACCACATTGTGATGTACAGATGTTCCTTGAATTTGTTTTAAATAGTGGCTTTATTAAGAAATAATTCACGTGCCATACAATTCATCTACTTAAACTGTACAATTCAGTGGTTTTGCGTACATATATTTACAGAGTTGCCCTATCACCACAATCAACTTTAGAACATTTTCATCACCCCCAAATGAAACCCCGTACCTGTTAGCAGTCGCTCCCCATACTTCTCTGCTCCCAGCCCATAGCAACCAGTAATCTGCTTTCTGTCTCTATGGATTTGCTTATTTTGGACATTTCATATAAATGGAATTACACAATATGTGGTCTTTTTATGACTGACTTGTTTCACTTACGGAGTCCAGGGGTGATGCACTGGGCTGGTAACTGAAAGGTTGGAGGTTTGAATCCAACCAGAGGTGCCTCAGAAGAAAGGCCTGGCAATCTACTCCTGAGAAATCAGCCACTGAAAATTCTGTGGAGCACAGTTCTGCTCTGACTCACAAGAGGTCGTTGTGAATCAGAATCGACTTGATGGCAACCGGTTTTATATGTAATTTATAAAAAAAGAAAAAACCTCAATTGCCCTCATTTCTCTGTAACCAAGTAACACTGCAGCGTCACAACCTTCAGTTCTTTCCCCGATGAATTCAAAAATATTTTTAATGAGACTAAAAAAAATGTCAAGTTGAGAAAGTCTATGCCCTACAGGCACTGTTTTTAGATCAGGGCACCCGCTTCTGTTTCCAACCATCCTTGCCTCAGCTCTGCCAACAGCCAGTAGTTACTCGGGCAGCGGCACCAAACAACGACACCTTCAGGACGGGCTGGTTCTTCCGCCTACTGACTCCGCCCCGTCTCCCTCAAGTTCGGGAGCCACGCCAGGGGGCGTGGCTAAGCAGGCGTGGCCGGCCTCAGCCTGAGCGCAGGTAGCTGGGGCGGGACTGGGTGGAGCTACGCGTCGCGGCGTGATGACGTTCAGGGACCTAGTGCGGCGTGCTCCGCCTGCGCCGCTGCGGGTGGCATATTTTGGTTCCGGCTTTTTTCCGGCTCCTAAGCTGAGGAGTCGTGCGGTAGGCCAACATGTTACAGGCTAATGGCGCTGAGGCTGAGGAGGAAGAGCAAGCGGAGGAGGACTGTCCTGAATTGGTTCCCATTGAGACGAAACGCAGAGAGGAGGAGGAAAAGCCTGGCCCCGGCGCCAAGATCCCAGTCACAATTATCAGCGGGTATTTAGGTAACTGACCCTCCCGGTCGGAAAGTGAGCCGGGAGTTTTGGAGCCGACGGGCGCCTTCCTGGGGCGTCGTGGCCGAGCGCACACGTCTCCGCGGGAGGGGCCGGGCCGCGTGCTCCCCCGGGGCTGACGCTCGTCGCCGAGCTGCGTGCTCGGAGCCCGCGGCGCTGCATGCGCTTTTCCAGGGCGCCGGTCAGCGGGCCTCGGTTTTGAAACGAGTCCTGGCTTTGCGGTTGGACGCCGGACCCGCCCCCGGGGCCCCGAGCGAGTTACGGTGCCTTTCTGCACCTCCTCGCGGGAGAACGCGAGCGGGGCCGGTCGGCTGTCTGAGCGCGGTTTCTCATCGGCCACGTGGGGCGGAAACACCTACCTTATAAGCCTGTTCCCTTAAAGGGTGTGCCGGCGGCTTAGAAGGCCCGATACAGGAGTGCTGCTCAGCGCAGCCCCTTCCCCACCGGCCCTTTGCGGGAAGTGCCTTTTTCTGAGACATTTTTGGAATGTTTGCAAAGCACCGCGGGCGGATATAGGAATAAAACCTTAGCCCTCCAAGACCGTGTTTCTCAAACAGGCTGTTCGGGAGGCGCTGAGGGTCCCCTGAACCAGAGGTTTCCAAGGGTCTGATTTTCCCCAGGGGCAGGTAATAGGTTTACACTAGAGGTACTTCAGTGGAGAAGTTTGAGAGACATTACTTTAAAATCTTAAATAGAAGGGCTAGAATAAATACAGGACCCTATTAAAAAGGCGGGAAAAAATTCAACATGTAAATAAAATGTTACGAGTTTGGGGAAATAGTACCGTTCTTGGATTGATCCTAGAACCCAGTACAAACTTGAGGCCTAGCGCTTAACCATTTGCACCCGCCAGGGAGGACTCCCAAGATCTTAACTACCTGAAAGTCTTCAAAAGACTCCTAACCCAGTCTTGAGTCTGATTGCCCTTTAATATATTTTTCGTATTTTAGGCCTGATGATTTTTATAAGTGTCTGTCTGATTATGTCACACCCTTTAATGACTTCCATTTAAGGTAAAGCTTAGATACCTTAGCAGGAATTACGACGTCCTGCATGATCTGGCTCTTGCCAGTCTCTCCAGCTTGCCAGCCTCTGTGACCCCAGACCCGTTGCCGTTGAGTGGATTCCAACTCATAGCAACCCCGTAGGACAGAGTAAAACTGCCCTGTGGCTTTTTCAAGGAGCGGCTGGTGGATTCGAACTGCCGATCGTTTGGTTAGCAGCCATGCTCTTAACCACTGTGCCACACTAGCCTCATCACATTAATTTGACTTCTTCTAAAAGGTGCCAGGTATTTTATCCCCGGGATACTTTTCTTCCTGCTGTCACTCCTCTGCTCGCCGTCCCTCTTAGGTGCTTCTTGTCATGTAGTACATCTATAGAAGGCGTCCTCCTGTGACATAGGTGCCTCTAGTCATCTGAGTGCCCTCGCAGCGCGACTCCCACGGTGTCTCTAAGTCCCATGAAGGCGGAGACTTTTGTCTCCACCTTCTTCATTTCCCCCAAGGCCCGCCGTAAAGTCGGGTCCAGAGGGACTTCTGAATGAATGAGCTGTGTCTTAAAGTCTTTTTCTTTGTCATATGGTCAGTTATTAAGCCCTAGCAATTCTACTACAGATAGTCCCCAACTTACGATGGGGCTCTGTTCTGATGACTCCGTCGTCAGTCAGTTCTGACGCACGTTGAATACCTCATTTTTTTTTTAGTTTTCGTTATTATTGCCTTTTATTATCAATATCTTTATAAATCATAACGTTGAACATCTGCCAGTGAACATCTGATCATGATAACATCAGCAAATTACACTGCAACATTGTATGTAGTACATATTACCAAGGAAAAGATGTAAAAAAAAAAAAAAGGTAGTAACGTTGTAACAATACGTCTTAAGTCGGGGTCTACCTGTATCAGGTCTCTTTCGTATACCCCTTCTTTTTGATTTCCATTGCCACCACCCTGTGTCGCACCCACGTTCAGGACCTGTTTATCTCACACTGGGACTGGTTTTAAGTCCCTTCCATTCTTTACTTCACATGTTTATGATGTTGCGCTTCCAAAAGTACACTAAACGTAAGCTTTTCATCTCTTCTAAAGCTTTTAAAGGAATGTTAACAACAAATGCTAAAGATATTCGTACCCTAATTCTCTCCTAGTTATATACCCTAGAAAACTTCCATATGTTCTCCAAGAGACATGTACAAGCTTCCATATAAAAGTTCTTAGCAGTATTGTTTGTAATAGCAAGACATTGGCAACAGTCCAAATGTCCACAACAGAAAAATGGATAAATAAACAATATAGTCATACAATTGAAATACACTACTATGCAGTTAACTTTTTTTTTTTGTCTATGAACTTTGTTGCCTGTAGGTCATAATTAAGACATGTTTTTCTTGAGTTGAACATAGTAGGTTTAATATGCCACCTACTGGATTAAGTTAGTGTAACAGTATGAATTTATCTTTCTTGACACTGAATGTTTTGTCCTTCTGTCCGTTGTGAACACTTCCTGCAGCCACCCCTCGCTTCTCAGATGTATAGTCAGTTTTGTAGCTTGTTTTAAGTATACTGAAGTAACCAGGCTGGGCTGCTGTCTGGTTAATGTTGGATCTTGAATTAGAAGATAGGCCTTTAATATGTAAATCTTCGGGAAGTAGGCCGTGTATTCTTGGCCAAGAAACATTGTCATCATGTAAAGGAAATGATATATTTTATAAGCTATGTGAGTATTTATTCCTTGGGACCCATTAGTTTATCATTCAAATTCAGATACCCTCATTATTTTGTGAGTAATGAAGAAGGCATATTATTTTTGCCGTATGAGGTTGGGAAAAAAAAAACCGTGTGATCCAACTTGTAGGAGTATTTGTAAATATAGGATTTTATGTCTGCATAAGATATTTTGTAACTCTTTTCAAAGGATGCTTTAATATTTTCCTATAGAACCTTCTATACTGTAAACAAAAACCCATTGCTGTTGAGTCAATTCTGACTCATAGCAATGCTACAGGACAGAGTAGAACTGCCCCATAGGGTTTCCAAGGAGTGGCTAGTGGATTCCAACTGCCGACCTTTTGTTTAGCAGCTGAGCTCTTAACCACTGCGTCACCAGGGCACCTTCTATACTTTAGTTAAATATTATTTGCAAAATAGAAAAAAATGCTTAAGAACACTAAGACTCTTTATGTGCTTTTAAAATTAGTCTTTGAATTTTGTTATTTAAAACAAATATATTTTCTAGGTGCTGGGAAGACAACACTTCTTAACTATATTTTGACAGAGCAACATAGTAAAAGAATAGCTGTTATTTTGAATGAATTTGGGGAAGGTAAGTAAAATTCAGTGATTGCTGGGCTACAGCAATTTACTGGACAGTTGATTCTGCTGATGAATTGATATCCCATATTGAAAATGAAAACACAGGTTTTTGTACTGTGAGCACGTGAATACAGATAGCTTTGGAAAAATTGATTACTTTCTACAAAGCTTTGTTTTGCACAACTTTGAGATCCTGAAATCAGATAGTTTCTACAAAGTTGTATTTTGTGTAATTTTTAAATTCACACCAACAGAATTATATTTTTACATGAAATAAATAACTACAGAAGTAAAAATCTAAACATATGAAAGGAAGTTTTTTTTTTTTTAAACTTTGCCATCGAGTCAATTCCAACTCATAGTGACCCTGTAGGACAGAGTAGAACTGCCCCCATAGGGTTTCCAAGGCTGTAACTCTTTAAGGAAGCTGACTGTTGCATCTTTCTCCCAAGGAGCAGCTGGTGGGTTCAAACCTCTGACCTTTTGGTTCTGTTGGGTGCTTAACTATTGTGCCACCAGCGCTCCTTCTATGTAGCAGAGTTAGAATACTTTTATTACTTTTCTAGGGGTTTTTCTTCTCAGGTGTGTATTTTAATAAAAGCTCACTTTAGGCCTAGAAAGTATAATTTCTGTTAGGATGTTTCTTAAAATGTACCTCCGCTTCAGTTGTAGTGAACTAGTAAAGGCGGTGGGTTTTATGAGTAGGATGGGAAGCCTGTTAGTTCAACCTGATAACTGGTTTGCTGCGCTTCTCTTTCAGTAAACTTAGAGAAGTATTGTCAGTAAAAGCCCTACAGTTTCTAATCTTTAGTTTTTTAGTTCCTTATTTACTGACCTTCCTTTGGACCCTGTGATTAATCCTGGTTACATTTGCTGTTATTTCTCCTGAGTTTTTTCATTCTTTCTGGGTCCTTTTCACAGTTGTGTCCTTCACAGCATTCTTAATACTTTCCTTCACATTTTATTAAGTTTCTCTGCACCCTGAATTCTGTAGCAGTCCCTTTTAAAGCTCTTTATCACCACTTAGCTAAAATATGAACAAAAAAATATAAATAAAAAACTACTCAAATTTTTTTTTTGCCATTTGCTTTACTGCACATATAGAACTCCTCCCTGGCTTCATTATATTCCTTTATGGAGAAAAAGTAAAACATTTTAATTGTTTTTATATGATAACACATATCTCAGAATCTCAAATATCCTTTATCCTTTCTCAAGTAAGCATTATTAGGAAACTTGTGTGTGTTTGACTAAAGTTTAATTGTTAAATGAGTGAGAATAGATGAGAAAATCCGTTAAGAGGCTGAAGGGAGTATAGATGAAAACCCAAATATGGAACATACTAGTCCATCTAGAAAGTCAAGCAGGGCCAAGAAAGAGCACCTTCAAACAGCTGCCTTAGGAAATGGACACGGGTGCATCAGAGGCCTAAAGAAGAGACAGGTAGGAGTTATAGTTTTGGACTTGCCTTTTTTTGGGTGTAAGTCCTCTTATTTATTTTAAAGAAGAAAAAAGCTGAAATAGTCTAGAGTCCTGTAATTTAAATATTGAGGTTGCATGAATAGGATGAAAGGATACTAGTGATAAAATGTAGTTTCTGCCTTGAGCTCTGCTGCGTTGTTGAGGGTCCTCATCTGTGTTTTGGTTGGCTAGTGAACATAATCTGAACGATGCTGCTTGTCGATTATTCTAGGAAGTGCGGTGGAGAAATCCTTAGCCGTCAGCCAAGGTGGAGAGCTGTATGAAGAGTGGCTGGAGCTTGGAAATGGCTGCCTGTGCTGTTCAGTAAAGTGAGGAGCACGTCCTGTTGCCTTACTGTAAATGCTTATTGACTATTTCCAGCTTTGATTTTCTCATGCCATTTAACTGAATCTACAAAGTCGGCTTCATTGTATTTTCAAATAGAAAATAGACTTCTTAAGATGTGTTTTCTTAAAGCATTTCTTGCTATTCTATTTTTTTCTACTTGCTGTAATGCTTTGTTGGTTTCACTGAGCGTTTTATTGTTTTTGATGTCAGGGTTTATTAAATTTATAATCTCTGCGTCAGATGGTAATTCCATGTTTAACTTTTTGAGGAACCACCAAACTGTTTTCCACAGTGGATGCCCCATTTTACATCCCCACCAGCAGTGGATGAGTGTTCCAGTCTCTGTATTTTCACTAACAGTTGTTATTTTCTTTTTGTTTGATTCTAGCCATCTTGATGGGTATGAAGTGATATATCATTGGAGTTTAGATTTGCAATTCCCTAATGACTAATGAGGTTGAGCATCATTTTATGTGCTTATTGGCCATTTGTATATCTTTGGAGATATATCTATTCAAGTCCTTTGCCTTTTTTTTAATTGGGTTGTTTGTCTTTTTGTTGTGAGTTATAAGAGCTCTTTATATATTCTGAATACAAGACCCTCTGAAGTGACTCCACAGCAACGAACAACAACAACAGTCCGATTAGTGCCCTTTGATGCACAAAAATTGTAATTTTGATGAAGTCCAGTGATGTCGTTTTTCTTTTGTCACAGATGCTTTTGTCATTTGCCAGTTTGCCATTGCCTAATACAAGGTCACGAAGCTCTACCCCTCTTTTCTTCTAAGAGTTTTATAGTTTTGACTTGTAAATTTATGTCTTTGATCCAATTTTAAATCACGTTTTGTATATTATATGAGTGAGAGTTTAACTTTATTCCACATGGGGAGACCCAGATGTCCAGCATCGTTTGTTGAAAAGGCTGTACTTTGTTGCACTGAATGGTCTTGGCACCCTTGTAACAGACTGTCTTGAACAACCAAAATGCAATCCATTAAGTATTTTCTTTCACTTTTGACACTCTTACGAGAAAAAAAGAAAATTAAATCTAGTACCCTCATTTGGAATAGAATTAAATGGTATTTAATGATAGTGCCCTCTTAGTTGTTGTACTGAACTACTGTAATTTAGAAATTTTTTTTTTTTTTTACTGTACTTCAGGTGAAGGTTTACAGAACAAATAGTTTCTCATGAAACAGTAGTACACATACTGTTTTATGACATTGGTTAACAACCCCACAACGTGTCAACCCTCTAACTTCTCAACCTTTTTTTTTTTGGTGAAAATACACGTAGCCAAAGATACACCATTTCAGAAATTTCTGCATGCACAGTTCAGTGACATTGACTACGCTCTTCCAATTGTGCTGCTATTCTCACTTAAGATGAAGGCTTAACAGCACAAAAGAGTTTCTCATTTAACAGTTACTATGCATGTTGCCCTATGACAATGGTTAACAATCTCACAACACATCAACAATATCCTTACTCAACCTTGGGTTCCCTATCACCACCTTCCTTATCCCCTTCTGCCTTCTGGCCCTTGTCACTGGACTACTGTACCTCGTTAGTCTCATTTGGTTTTACGGGGCTGTCCCCTCCGAGGCAGAACGGTGAACGTTGGAGATAACTTCACCATTGAGCTAAAAGGGTGTCTGGGGGCCATACTCT